ACACACACACTGTGTATAGCGTCTTTGACAAAAGGACATTTTCAACATGTACTTCGACCTGTATAGAAAAGCGCAGGATCCTATTCAAATAGTTTAAAGCAACTATGTCACAAAGAAAGAAGCAAACAAGCAAAAGAAAGCGAATACAGTTCGCACCAAGCTTTGGAAATCATATTTAACGTTGCAGAAGTGCTTTCGACTGCAAGATATTGCTGTAATTTTCAAATAAATCTGTTGCGATGTCATGATCGTACAACGTCTGCATATGTGTACGCCACATAATCTAGGAAGACGGGTAATTGAAGCCACGCACAATATTCCTAGCGGAAACTACACGCCATCTTTCAAATCGAGCAATATCGTGTGAAAACTAAACTTCCATTGAGAAAGATACATTCTACTGGGCCAAACTCAAAGCACATCGTCTATGTTAAAGTAGTACGGTAGTTGGTTTCATGGACCCAAGTTGGCAAAGATCACACCAGCTCAGAGACGGTGGTATAAAGACAACATAATCAGAAATGTCACGGAGCAACATTAGCTTCTATCTCAGCTTTGACCTGGCAACATGCAGGATACATATGTTGCCTTGTCCTCTCCTGCGATGTTCTCTCAAGGTGAGGAGAATCTCACGAAACCTGTGAAGAACATACTTATCTTTTACCAGAAGGTCAAATGGAAGAAATTATATTTTGCTTAAAGGGGTCATGAGATTAAATTTGCCTGGATCTTTTGGCAAATAAGAGGGGTTTGTCCCATTAAAACACCCTGCAAGTTTCAGAGCTTTAATTGCCCTCATTATAAAACAAAGCATTTCATTAATCGAGCTCCAAAAAAATGGATCGTTTTGATATTGTCGGATCTGTGATGTCACAAATATATTTGCATATGACCGCCTCCAGAGCAAGACATTGACGAATAGCTTTAAATTATCACACCATAGGCTCCGCCCACTGGCGTTCAGTCACGTAACGACTGGCATTTGAGTGGGCGTTGATACTGTGTATGATGTTAGCTAATCATAAAGGCCTGTTCACACAGCGCGCGCGCGTTATTCGCCGACGTTTAACGCCTTGTGACTAAACAAAGGGCGCCAATGAGAGTGTGTACACCGACGTGTAAAAGCGTCATTTTTATTAAAACGCCTCAGGTTCGTTTTATTTTAGTTTGACGCATCGCGTCAAAAACTATCCGACCAATGAGATTGGTGCTTTTGCTCACGTGTTTGGAGCTTCTGAAGTTACAGTAAAACACAACTTGGGGGCGCTCAAACACAAAACGGTCTTGCCGAGCACACATATGCAATGGCGAAGAAGATATATGCCAAGTAGCGTCGCCGTCTTCTACACAGCCAGGAAGAAATAAGACGAGGAAGATGCGAGGCAAGATGAATGTAGAGCTGCTGTTCTCGTTGGTGTTAGAACATAAAGAAATATATGACAAACGCGACAGCGACTACAAACATCTTGATAAAAGAGGACTGTATGGAGTGGTATTGCAGAGCTAATGGGCGCCATCTAATGTCAGGGAATGGATTTGTATGTTCACTCGGCTCATCGTCAGCGAAAATCGCTTGGGTGTGAACACAAAAAACGCGTTGAAAAACGCTGATGAATAAGGCGCTGATATTCGTCCCGGTGTGTACGGGCCTTTACATTGTCGTTTACTGACCAGCATTAAAGGAGCCACCACTTAAAAACTGATAATTTCTGACAGAGGGTCAGAATGAAGGTTGAAAATAATCATTTTTGAATATAAATAATGAATATGTTAAAATAATAGAAAAAAAATCTGTCATGACCCCTTTAATAAAACGTATGCATCTAATTTTCCCATTGATGATACTAATAAGTGTCATGTATAGTAAATTTAGTTTTTTTAATGGTTTATGATGTGTGTGTGTGTGTATCTATCTATCTATTTACACACACACACACAGACATATATACATGTTCTTCAAAGATTTTATCAGACAATATAAAAGAGCATTTTTGCAGTGCAATAGGGAGATTTCCGCAGAAGATTTTAATTTGCCATTTAATCCTTGACGCTTCGTTTGTGATGCAGGACAGTTAAAATGAGATCTGCTACAGTAATTCATGTCATAAACATGGGACTCGATGGCAAGTTTGACTAACTGGTTCACAATTTCATGCGCAACATTCCTTAAGGTAGATTGGCTACTAGCACCTTTTGCCTAAAACCACGACAAACCAACCCTAGTTTTCTGAAGCAACTATGAGATTAAAGTCACATTTACAAGTATTAGTATAAAATAAATGTACGCAACTTTCAGCTTATTCTTCTTTTCTCATTAGATAAATATATTTTTAATAATTTATCCTTTTTTTTTCTGTGTGACCTGTATGCTAATAATTTTATGGCAATTCTTTTTCATGATTTCAAGTACCTCAGTGAGAATTATTAGGGTTTTGGAATACATAATTTCTGTTGCAAATGCTATTTTTTTTCAATCTATAATCTTTTATACAAACTGAGGAAGAATAAAAAGACACACTGCTTCCATTAGTCACCTTCGAGGAGACTGCTATGGCTTCAAACTAAATTTTCAGTTCATATCTGACATAGATTTGCTTTCTAAATTGGGGAATGGAGGACAGGGCTTCATTTGCACGCATCACACGGATCAAATGGCAGGCGTTCGGGGTTTCTCGAACTCTCGTGGATTTGTGTAAAGGAAACTGATCCGGGATCTCACAGCGCAGAGCCACTCAATTAAGGGGCGGGAGAATGGAAGCCTAACAGTGCCTGCAAAGTGCAAGATAAGGAGGGAGGGGGAGGAGGGGTTAAAGTGCAATACGAGCATTTTTCTCAAACAGGCCTTGATCAGAAAGTTGGGAATCAGTGTGTGCAGGACCATTCAGATGTTCAGCTGGACAGACGCTCTGATTCGGAAACGTTCGGATAAAGCCTGCGGTGACTATTCTGATTGTGCTCTTCAATGCTTTACACGACATGCTTGTGCACCCAAAACACTCTCACTATTGCATACAGGTCCTTTAGTGCATACCACACACATTGCTTGTACTCCTATCAAAAGTTAACGGGTGAATGTCGCAAAAACATGCCCAGGTTACATTTCACCCTAAAATTCATAAAAAGTCTAATTTGACTGATAAGATTGTTTGCATTGAGATATTTTTCTCACATTTGCCTGTCAAATTGTCATTACCGTAATGCAATATATGTATATATATATATATATATATATATATATATATATATATTACATTTAAATTATATTGGGCATTATAACAAATACTACTTTTATTTATATATATATACACTGTACAAATAAATATGCTTTATCTAATCAAAAAAACAAACAAAAAAACAAAAACGTGCATTAAAATATCCCAAAATCACAAGGCCAGTGTTATATATTTAGTTAAGATGATAACTTACAATATGCCAAATGCTTCAAACAATATTTAAATCGCGAGAAAATTTAGATTTTAACCAAGGAAACGGGGCGTGTGAGCAGGGGTGAGCTGGGAGTCAATCGCATCATATCCGCGTTACCTCGGTTTCCGCTCATACTGTGTGTAGTCCTGGACAAATGCGGAAGTTGTAGTTGTGCGTTAGCGTCTATCAAGCAACAAACGTCAGCTTGTTTTGCGCATTTGTTATGGAATGGAGCACAATTATTCTTTAGCGATTACACCTGGTTCTGTCGACAAAGACAAGTCTCATAAACGCAAACGTCGACGAACAGGTCAACCAAACGACTCAAGAAGAATTTGGGACAAGAGAAATAAAACCAGCTCAACATTGGTGTGGCATTTCCTAAATGGCGAGAACTTCGTGAAAAACTCTAACTAGACAGAGACGCCGATCTTGCATGTGTTTTACTCAACAGGTGAGTAACACCGTGTTCTATATTCAAATTTCATGTCAGTAAACAATGCAAAACAATTAGTATTATTGTTAGAATGTCTTGTTGTCTATGCATATGATGTGAAAAATCGTAATAAGGTCATATTCACCGCGAATACTTCTCAGAATGTGAACTGTTGGCTGTATCTTGAAAAGTGTTTCAACCGTCCCGGCTTTCCCCTAACATCTGTGATAGCTAATTTACTTTTAAACATTACTTTTCTCGCGGTTATTTCAAAAACAAGCATGTCATTAAACGCAACAGTTATAGAAATCGAACTTTACCTCATCCATGACAACTAATTTTCGATTCCCGTCTGACTGATTTATCCACGGTGGAGTTGAAAACAACAGTTCCCATCATTCCATGTTCCTCCACGGGGTCATCAAGCAAAGCCGTTGTTGTTGTTTTGAATGTAGCGCCCTCTAGCGGCATAAAATCTTACGTATTGTAGCTTTAAATAAATGTAACACATTAGAATTGAGTAATAATTAATCAAATTAATTCCTTAAAAGTTAACCATTTAAAATGAGTAAAACTTAAAACAACCTAAAAAAAAACATAAATTGAAGTCACCATTATGGTGATCAGTGTTTGTTTTAGGTTCGTTTTAAAATGACGGTTTTCTCCTTCAGTGATTCTGCTTGTTAACATCAGATGTCTTCAATGTTGGCAGTAATAAAGAGTTCTTAATTAATCTTTGACGTCTGTCGGTTAGTGAGATATTTTTGTTTGTATTTTTTTGGTGTAAACTACTCGTTTTAAATGGTTAACTTTTAAAGAATAATTTGATTAATTATTACTCAATTCTAATTTGTTAAATTTAATTAATAATATTGCTTGTAATCTGTTGCCACAAGTCTATTCTATTGATTAGATAAAGCATATTCATTTTTGCAGTGTATGTATAACAGAAATATATCACTTTTTAACATTACGGTAATGAGAATTATGCAAATAAAAAGTAATAGTCCTAAAAAAAATCTTAATTTCCTTTTAGTGAAATACAGTTTTTTTTCCTTTGCTTAGAATTTGAAGTGAAATCAATCTTGAGAGGTTTTGTGAGAATCACCCAAATTTCCTGTTTCTTTTTCCAACTCGACCACTATCATTTTCACTGGAGCCAGTTTGAGTCGTAGGAGCCGTTCACACAGAACACATTTTTGCATTCCACTGCGTTTTTTCCACTGATTTTCTATGTAAACATGCTCTGGATGGACATGTTTGACCATTCCACATCTTTTGCAGCATCCTGTGCATGACATGGTGATCTAAATGTGTGGCGCTTAAGTTAAAAGAAATTCAAATTTTTATACAACTTCCACTGCCCCTTTTTGTGAACGGCCCCTCAAGTTTAAGCAAGGACTGATGACATCACAGATGTCAAAGGGCGTTCCTGTGCTTCGACGTATTATATTTTTCCTGCCAACACATTTGTAGTCATCTATTAGCTGCAAACGTTTCATTTTGCTATTGATTTTGAGTTCTCTAATCATCTGCACTGTCTATTCCTTCTAAGTTAAACATCACAAGCTTACAGTATATTCCCATAAAAAACAATCGGACAAAATGAAAGCACATAGCTCTACCAATTTTCAAAGCATTTAAAGGTTTTAACAAAGACCTCCAGGTCACCTGCAGCAAACTACAAACTACTGCAAACAGCCCAACGGGATGCGGGATAAGGAGTTACACAAGGCTACGTGCTCAGACCTCTCACGATTCCGAGCAAGAGACAGGACAAGAAACCACAAAAGCAACACTATTGCACAGTAGCACACTGTTACAACAGCCGTCGATCTAATTCCAACCCTGCCACTGACGAAACAAACCCAAACACATCTGAGGAAAAGCAACCTAAACAATGACCAACCTTGTTTGAAACCGATGGACGAAAATGAATTGCTTTGAATATATTCATATATAGATATAGATATTATATATACACAGCAGAGTTTTACCGTGATAAAATGTTAGCAGTAAATTAGCTCACCATGCTAACTGAATGAGTTTGATATTCTAAAAAAAAAAAAAAATCGTTCAAACACATCATGAAACCACCAGACATGTTGACTCACTGTAGCTACCCAAAAAAAATCACATAGAAATGTAACTTCGTAACTTCTGCTCTAAAAAATATATCAACTGGGAGCTTAAATGTTATTGACCCCTTCAGAGTGAACAAATGAACTATAAAAATGGAATGAAAAACCAACAGGAGTAATATATATCAGTATACACAAGCACACACATAATGTATATACTCAGCTTAAAAAACACAAAGATCAGTGTGAAATCAATACAAATCGTTGTTTCCTGCTGTTTTTCATCCCCTCATTCTTCCGTTCATCTTTCTTCTGTGTCTTCCTTCATTTCCGTGACCGAACTGAATAAAGTTTACCGCTGTAGTTCGGAAAGCCGTGTTACTCAGCGGCCAGAGCTTTCTTAGGTTTGGCTCGTTTCTTTATAGGGGGTGGTGTGTCTCTGGCTTGGGCTGGATTCCCACTGTCCACTGGGTCAGAGGGTGTGGTTGGGCTGTGGGTGATGGGCTTGGGTGCAGGGGTTCGGGTTTCCGAGGTTATGATCTGGGGAGGAATCGGGGCTGGAGCAGAGGTGAAGCTCTTAGTCTCTGCTGGAAAGGAGGCTGTCACCAGGTGGTGATCTTTGGGCTTTCGTCCTCTCTTCTTCCCAGGCACTACGTTTTTCATGTCCTTCTGTAAGCCATTGCTCTCTGGCTCTTTTCTCTTGTTGTTGGCCACTTCATTGGTTGATGCCCGAAACCAGTTCTGTGCACATAGAGCCACAGCAAGTTTAAAGAGGAACTGAGTCTAAAGGCTCAGCTGATGGATTAGCATGAATTTTTAAACATTTTAGAAGGAAACTATTCATCCTTATAAAGCCCTTTGACATAGAGGTGACGATTTGTGCATAGTATGACATTTATCTTTGTGTACTAAAACTGAAACTAAAGATTAATTTAAAAGCATATATAGTAATAGTTCTCTTAAAGGAGAACTCCGGCGAACAATGAACCTTTGGTCTAATAAAACATCGGTACATAGTCAACCGTTCTCTGACATTTGTTTTCATGATAATCGAATGTAAAGAGTTTTATCTCTAAAAACTGTTTAGCGTATAATGCTAGTAATGGGGGCATTGACTAAGTAAAAAGAAACCGCTAGTTTATACCACTAACAAGGCTCAAAATAGCCCCACACTAACACAGTAACATAATGAGGCTCCATACATGCAAAACGAAGCGTTAAGAACTTTGTAAGTGTACAGACCGTTTAATAAGAAGATACTTTATGAAGACAGTTCACTTCGCGTATACAGGCAGGAGCCATCTTAAAAAATAGCCTCGATAAGTCGATCCCCGAACGCCGTTAATACAGTTCAGAAGTTCGCTGAACTTCATACAGTTCAGATCACTCAGCACGACGTTCGTGGTTTGACTTATCGAGACTATTTTTTAAGATGGCTCCTGTCTGTATACACGAAGTGAACTGTCTTCATAAAGTTTCTTCTTATTAAACGGTCTGTACACTTACAAAGTTGTCAATGCTTCGTTTTGCATGTATGGAGCCTCATTATGTTACTGTGTTAGTGTGGGGCTATTTTGAGCCTTTTTGGTGGTATAAACCAGCGATTTCTTTTTACATACTCAATGCCTCCATTACTAGCATTATACGCTAAACAGTTTTTAGAGATAAAACTCTTTACATTCGATTATCATGAAAACAAATGTCAGAGAACGGTTGACTATGTACCGATGTTTTATTAGACCAAAGGTTCATTGTTCGCCGGAGTTCTCCTTTAAGAGAGGTTCTCTCGTACTGCGTAATATCTTACGCTAGGGGAAAACATCTTTTCCATGAGATATTGAAGCCAAAAATGATCCTTAATTTTGTAATATGTAAAAGACGTTGTAATATGTGTAATATGTAAAAGACGTTGCGGCAGCATGCAGACATAGGCAAGGCGGCTCGCATGCCTATTGGCTGTCCTGTGGCAACTGCAGCAGCCTATCGAGAGAGGCCTATCGAGTGAGGCGCTCCCCCCGCCTCAAATGCTGCAAGCACAGCGTTCGCGTTACAGCACACCAAAGCTCTCTGGTCGCCACAATGTTGCGGCCAGAGCCCAGATCTCATTGTACCCCTAGCTATTCATGCAAATGTGTGGGCAAGGCTTCCCGGGGTATCAGAATGGGTGCTGACTTTAGTGTTAGATCTCAGCACGCATGGCATTTTACATTGTGTTCTCCTAGCGCAAGATATTACGCAGTACGAGAGAACCTCTAGTAAGAGAACGTACTAGGTTACTAACGTAACCTTGGTTCTCTCTAGAAGATGGAACAAGTACTGCGTATCTTTGCTGTGCCTGCAACAGGCTCTGGTTCGCTTTGGCAATGGAAAAACCAGATTATATCAGCCCATCGATCTGTATTTATAAGGCCCAGGCCACGCCTGTCTCAGCGGGACATGACGTAGTAGATCTAACGTCACCAAGGGCCTCTGTTGATAGCTTGCTGCAGTTTCCACAGGACCGCCAATAGACACGCGAGCCATCTTGCCAATGTCTGCATGCTGCCGCAATGCTTTTATATTAATTCATTCATTTTTGGCTTCAATATCTCATGGAAAATAGGTTTTCCCCTCGAGTAAGATATTACGCAGCACTCATCCCCTCTTCTAGTGTGAACCAAGGTTACGTTAGTAACCGAGTACGTTCTGTATCGCCCCAAAAAACTACCGGACATTACTCAAGTTTGCATCATTACAACAAATATTATAAAGATCAACACTTCGGTCAATTGCTTGCAAACTTGAAGATGGTCGGCTGACCAAAATGTTGCTCAATAAAATATTTATGTGAAAATGCAAACTTGAGGAGTATATGTGCGATTTATATTTTTCCATATTTGTGTAATAAAATGATCTCTATATGATGGTAGAAATGTTGTGTTCTGTGTTAAAATAATAAATACAACCAATATTAAATATTTAAACACAGAATATTTTCAAAAGTTTGTTGAATTCAAATGTCTTGTTTTTTTTTAAAATGTAAATAATTCTGAAAATGTTCTAATTATTTCTTAGCAGTTTTCTCAACTATAATTACTAAAAGTAATAAGTATATATATATATATATATATATATATATATATATACTTATTACATAGTAAATAGTATATATATATATATATATATATATATATATATATATATATATATATATATATAAGTCTTTCATTGCTTCAATGGAAGCATCGCAACTTCACAGTTGGTGTACCTTTGTTTGTCAAAAAAGTTTTGTCTTGTTCATTCATATCAAACTTGATGAGAACTGACATACAGTAGACATAAACAGTAGACATTTTGTTACACTAGAAGACTATTAAGTGCTCAGATTACTCTCCATTGAACATACAATATACAGGGTGAGCGAGTGTTTTTTTTACCTGCGAGTGTGTCTTGCTGATATGATATTTCACGCCGCTCTCAGAGTTAAACTCCTTCTGACAGAGCAAACACGTGTACTTCCCTACGTCGCCCCCTCCCTGTGTGGAGAAAAATAACAGCAGTGAAACTGATACCATATCAGCAATGTCTAAGGCTAAAAATATACACACTATATACAGTTGTAAAATTGATCTATAATTTACAACTACGGGTAAGAACGCAGAGGACTTGTACCTTGTTACAGCTCGCCAAGTGAGCTTTAAGTCCAGATACACTTGAGTAAATAGCCTCACAGTTCTGTTATGGAATTTAAGAGAAATTTATAGAGAAGAAATGAACAACAAAAACAGCTGTTTAGTTTCCCAAGCAAATCTTAATCTACTGATATCATTCAGATGTTCATATTGATGTTGGAATCTGCCATTCAAGCACTAGCAGATATTAAAGTAATAGTTAAATGAAAAGCAAGGGGGTGTTCTTACGCAATTTGGGCAGCAGATAAATCCTTTTTCCTTCACCTCGTTCTTCCAGCTCTCCACAGTTTCGGGGCTGAAGTTTGGGAGGCCTGGTCGTGTGTAGTTTAGCTAAAACAACAAAGCAAAGTGTGTACGGGAAGTGCAAAATAAGTAGACAAATGTGT